ACCTGCTCCCGTCTCCTCCCCCGGGGCCACCCAGTCAGAGTCAAGGCCTTCTCGAATCCGAGCGACTTTGTCATACAGATATTGAGCAAAATCCTCGGCCCTCCCCTCCAGGGGATCCTCCCCCCCCCTCAACTGAAGGAGAGAGCGCGTCACCCTGAAGAGGGTGGCCGGGCGATTATCTGATGACGCAATGAGGGTGTAGTAATTAGACCTAGCCACCCTCATCGCCACTAGGTAGGATCTAACCTGCATCCTTACCTGTGCTCGATCGGATTCGGTTCGGCTAGCCCTCCAACTGCTCTCTAGGCATCTTTTCCGGCGCTTCATCTCTCTCAGCTCCTCGGTAAACCAGGGAGCCAGTTGAGATCTGCGCCGGGTCAGAGGCCGCAAAGGCACAACTCGGTCCAATGCTGTGGCAGCGGCCACATCCCAGGCCGCCGCCAAATTTTCAGCCGAGTCGTGAACTAGATCCTCAGGATATGGCCCAAGCTCCGTCAGGAACCTCTCTGGGTCCATCAGGCGCCTGGGGCGGAACCATCTTTTAAGAAGAGACTGGACAGCCATTTGTCTGAAATGGTGTAGGGTTCCTGCCTGAGCAGGGGGTTGGCCTCGATGACCTCCAAGGTCCCTTCCAACTATTATTATTATTATTATTATTATTATTATTATTATTATTATTATTATTATTATTATTATTATTTTTATTTGTTGATCTCCTCTGTACTCTTTCTAGAGTCTCAACTTCATTTTTACATCGTGGTGACCAAAACTGGATGCAGTATTCCAAGTGTGGCCTTACAAGGCATTGTAAAGTAGTATTAATACTTCATGTGATCTTGATTCTATCCCTCTGTTAATGCAGCCTAGCATTGTGTTGGCTTTTTTGGCAGCTGCAATACACCGCTGGCTCATATTTAAGTGATTGTCCACTAGGACTCCAAGATCCCTCTAACAGTTACTACTATTGAGCAAGGTACCCACCTATACTATACCTGTACATTTGGTTTTTCTTGGCTAAATTTAGAACCTTACTTTTTTCACCATTGAATTTCATTTTGTTAAATAGCGCCCAATGTTCAAGTCTGTTCAGATCCTCCTGTATCTTAAGCCTATCTTCTGGAGTGTTGGCTATTCCTGCCAGCTTGGTGTTGTCTGCAAATTTGATGAGTTCCCCATCTATCCCCTCGTCCAAACCATTGATGAAGAGCACTGGGCCCTAACAGAGCCCTGGGGCACCCCACTACACACTTCCCTCCGTGTAGATGCAGTTCCGTTGAGGACCACACGCTGAGTACAGCCGGTCAGCCAGCTACGAATCCATCTGGTGGTGATGCTGTCTAACCCACATTTTTCTATCTTATCAAGTAGTAGGTTGTTATCTACTTTATCAAATGCCTTACTGAAGTCTAAGTAAATTATATCCACAGCTTTCCTCTGGTCCACTAATTTTGTCACTTGGTCAAACAATGCAATAACATTTGTCTGGCATGATCTGTTTTTGACAAACCCATGTTGGCTTTTAGCAATGACTTTGTTTGACTTTAGGTGTTTGCTGATTCGTTGTTTGATTATCTTTTCCAGAATCTTCCCAGGTATTGAGGTCAGATTGATAGGTCTGTAGTTTCCTGGATCCATTTTTCCCCTTTTTTGAAGATGGGAACTACATCAGCTCTTTTCCAGGCCTCTGGTAGTTCCCCAGTGCTCCAGGATCTTTGAAAAATATAGTTCAGTGTTTACAAAAGCATGAAAAATATTTTTCTGCAATTCCTTGGGCAACTTTATTATTAGCATAACTCTGCTTTCAATACTAATTTTGCACTTCTGTATACAGGATTTTCTTCCAATAGATGTGCTGCAGTTGGTTTTCTGTAGAAAATAACTCATGCATCATCTCTGGATACATTATTAAAATAACTTGATAAGAAAGAAAAGAGAAAGAATCACACTGCTATTTTTGGTTTATAAAAACATTGTTCCACTTTAGGAAACTGGATATAAATCTTTCATTCTCACTATTATATGCTGATATGTTGATTATACAACTTTAAACCAAGGATTAAACTTTGTTACATTTGGTTTTACAGCAGTTTTTAAGCTCATATCTAGTTATATTTAAATTACTGGTATTACTTTGAGGCCCTTTCTCTTTATTGATGTGTTGGAGCTGTTATTGAAAATCATAGAAATTCCAATATCTGGAAAAAAACAATAGTTACAGTTTACAAAAAACAATAGTACAATAGTACACTAGGAAGCAGTCTATATGATGGTTGTTTTGGAAATAAGAATAATACTGAAATAGAGATGTAATTATGGTTTCTTGTATTTGTTTATTATTCACCTTTTCTCAAGTATAAAAATTGATTGAAGATACAAAAGAAATTTAGTTTCTGAATTTTATCTGCCAGATCTCTCAGTGCAAATACTGGAAAATTAAAGCATCTTGTTAACTGACCCAGTGATATTAAAAGGGTGAAAAATTGCTGCAATTGATAATTAAAGGCAAGCTCTGGAAAAACCCTACATAAATGTAAATTTACTGAAATCTGTTTATCATTTCTTAATTGTATTAACACTTTATCAATACATTCTGGACAAAAATCCTGAGCACGTGTGCTTAAAATATTTGCTTTTCTTCCTAACATCCCATTTTATTTTTATTTTTCTTCAGGTTTTCTTTGATGTCCCCAAAGAATCTGGAGACAAAAGATATGTGAAACTCTCAGAGAAAAACAGATGGGGTAAATATATAATACTGAGCTATCTAAAATCTGTCTAATACAATTGCTTTTGTTCCAGTTAATTGATGCTTAAATTTTTCTGGTTTTTTAAAATTTAAACACGGTTACTGAAAGCAAATCAGATCGCGCGCGTTTTTACCAAAAAGGAAGGAAATATTTAACATCGGTTCACTAAGCTCAGCCTTGCTGAGTTTCCTTACACACATTCGCTACCCATCATCCACCTCCTCTTTTTTGTAAAGAATATCTGTATATCAGTAGGACGTGATGACGACATGCACTGGCTCATTCTTTGTTTACATCCCTCCTCTTTCCGACCCCTCCAAATCCTGGTGTGCGGCGAGATTGGCTGTAGGAGATGGCAGAGATATTCGCGATCTGCCTCCTGATTGGCCAGAGTGTTCATAGAAAAAGAAGGTGGAAATTGGCTGTGGGGGGGTGCGGCTTTGCGTGGTTGCGCTGCCCGCTGATTCTCAGTGCGGTAGTGCCTCCGCTCGGCCGCCTGCCTCTTAGGTTGAGGAAGCGATCATTGCTTCGCGCCGGTTCCTGCATTATCGCCTTGTGTGAACCCGCGTTGGTTTGGCAAGCCCCTCGCTACCTTGACGGCAAAAAGAACAGGCAAAAGGTGGAAAAGAACAGGGAGCAGACCATGGCGGCATCGGTGCCAGATAAAAACTGTAAGAAGAAAACGGAGAAAAAGCTGGCTGCTCGAGAAGAAGCCAAATTATTGGCCAGCTTCATGGGAGTCATGAATAACATGAGGAAGCAAGTAAGTCAAGGAAAGGGAGGGCAGAGGTGAGGTGGGTGAACTCTGGGCCCTCCTGTAAAGAAGCCTTGGCGGAGCCTGTCGCCTTGCGGGGTCCAGCCATATCCCGGCACTGGGGTGGGGACTAGAGGTCGGATCCCTGCTTGAAACCGAGGCACCAAATCTATGGCAATTTCAAGTCTCTAGCGCAGTCGTCTTTAACGTGCCCTCTTCCTAGTGTAGGATGTCCCTATGAAAAGGGAATGGAACGCTTGCCCCTATTTGAAGGGATTGACTTGGCATTCTTTTGTTATTTTGCAAGTCTCAGTTAGTGTTCTTCAGTATGGCAAACGAAGACGGGGTGCCTGGTGCTGTCCTCATAAAGCTGCTGGTGGGATATCTTGTCACTTAGTCTCTTACATTAGTGTAATTATTTGTTTCTTTTACATAGGAAGTGCAATTCTGATATTCTAGAATAATTGTTAAGGTGTGGTTCTATAACCCAGTCTGTTCCATCTGGTACATGTTACTGTTAATTATGTTAACCTTAAACATTAAGTTGAAAGAAGATAATACAATACGCTCTGATGCTATCCTGCAGGTAGTAATTATAGTTCAGTGTTTCTCAGTTTCGGCAACTTTCATATCCTGGAGTTCAACTTCCAGAATTCACCAGGTAGCAAGCTTTGTTGTTGTTGTTGTTAATTGCGAAGTCGTGTCCGACCCATCGCGACCCCATGGACAACGTTCCTCCAGGTCTTCCTGTCCTCTACCATCTCCTGGAGTCCATTTAAGTTCACGCCTACTGCTTCAGTGACTCCATCCAGCCACCTCATTCTCTGTCGTCCCCTTCTTCTATTGCCCTCAATCTTTCCCAGCATTAGGCCCTTCTCCAGTGAGTCCTTCCTTCTCATTAGGTGGCCAAAATATTTGAGCTTTAACTTTAGGATCTGGCCTTCTAAAGAGCAGTCAGGGTTGATCTCTTCTAGAACTGACTGGTTTGAATGCCTTGCAGTCCAAGGGACTCGCAGGAGTCTTCTCCAGCACCATAGTTCAAAGGCCTCAATTCTTTGTCGCTCAGCCTTTCTTATGGTCCAACTTTCACAGCCATACATTGCAACTGGGAAAACCATGACCTTGACTATACGCACTTTTGTTGGCAGGGTGATGTCTCTGCTTTTTAGTATGCTGTCTAGATTTGTCATAGCTTTCCTCCCCAGGAGCAAGCGTCTTTTAATTTCTTGGCTGCAGTCCCCATCTGAGGTTATCTTGGAGCCCAGGAAAATAAAATCTGTCACTACCTCCATTTCTTCCCCATCTATTTGCCAGGAATTGAGAGGGCCAGATGCCATGATTTTGGTTTTCTTAATGTTGAGTTTCAAGCCAACTTTTGCACTCTCCTTCTTCACCCACATCAAGAGGCTCTTTAGTTTCTCTTCACTTTCTGCCATTAGAGTGGTATCATCTGCATATCTTAGGTTGTTGATATTTCTCCCGGCAATTTTAATTCCAACTTTTGATTCATCTAGCCCTGTAGCAAGCTTAGGTTTAGTTTAGTAAAGAAAATAAACATTTCTACAATTTCTCTGAATATAAGAAATATTATATTTCTGTATCATAACTTTGTGCTTTTTTTTGTTCTATTTTAGAAAACACTATGTGATGTTATACTGATAGTCCAAGAAAGGAGGATCCCAGCTCATCGGGTTGTACTTGCTTCAGCCAGTCACTTTTTTAACTTGATGTTTACTAGTAAGTTTTTTTCCACTTCAGCTTTTAATATTATCTCTAGATTTGCAAGTAAAGAGAACATTTTAATCAGTAGTTAGTATTGAACAAATCTTACTACTATAATTCCTACAGTCCCATTTAGACCATACATTAATGCCTTCATTCAGTACTTCATTTTCTATACATAGTTTATTAATTTTCTATGGGTAGTTTTAGATAGCAGGAAAAAGCAAAGCATGTTTTGTGAGGAGAATATAAAAATAGTCCTTCAGGATAAAGCCTAACATTGTATCCTATGTGAGACTGGATCACTAGATATTTCTAAATAGAACACAAATAGGTGATCAAGTGCAAATAATCACTGTGCCATTGCCACTGTTGAGAAGCTGAGCTAATTTACTTCTGACTCAGTTGTGTTTCTGGAAGAATGACAGAACTTTCACTTTGAAACAGAATGTTGTATGGAGCTTGGGGGTGCATAATTATTGTACTGGTAAGAACTTCTGCTTTACTCTATCTCCTCAGCTTTTCTGCTGTTGCTAAGCTATTATAGTACACAATGTTCTCATAAATGTCCTAAGCTGAGAAAGGGAGAGTAAACTTTGCAGCTCCTTTCATTTGTGTCCAGCTTCTCTTCCTGCCCTAAAACAAGCTCAGTTAGGACAGGAATTGTGGGTCTGGCTTAATACAGTACTGCTACTTAGTCCACTGAGCCATAATTCTTGGTAGCTATAAGTATGATAGATGTGGGTTATTGCTACAAGTATTTGTGAAGGACAATAGTAGCTGGAAGTACCTAAAGGGGGATATGAGTGTTCCAGAACTGCATCTGAGAAGGGCTTCCAAAAGAAACAACTTTGCCCATTCACAGATCAGAATAATAACTCTGCAAGATTTTAAAAATAACTCTTGATAATATTTATATAATTGCAGCAAATATGATTGAATCAAAGTCATTTGAAGTTGAATTAAAGGATGCTGAGCCAGATATAATTGAACAGCTGGTTGAGTTTGCTTATACTGCAAGGTAAGTATATCACAATATTACTATTGCTAGTCATCTACAATTACAAATCTAGACAACTTTGTTCATGTAATTAATTTGGGCATTCAAGTACCAAATATTAGTATCTCTAATACAGAATGTTATTTTAAATATTACAAGAAATATTCACATTAACTTTATATGCAAACTTTATAGTTGTATTACTCTACTTTTTTAATTGTTAAGGTTAAGAAAATGTTCTCAAGGATGCTTTTTTTAAAATGCCATTTATAAACTTTAATATAGATGTGTATATGTGCTAGGATTTATATGTATATAATTCTTAAAATGCTTACTTTTGTAAACATCGATTTTTTTTCAGAATTTCTGTGAACAGCAACAATGTCCAATCATTGTTGGATGCAGCAAATCAATATCAAATTGAACCTGTGAAAAAAATGTGTGTAGAATTTTTAAAAGAGCAAGTGGATGCTACAAATTGTCTTGGTAAGGCATCTTCCTCCTGTTAAAGATATTCCAAGGTTTCCAAAGTTTGGAGTGAAAAACTTTTTCCACTGTGTATTATATTTTAGAAAACAATTTTTATAATATATTTAATGTATAATTTGGTTAAGTTTTGAAAATGTGCTTATTTCAAAACATAGAAATTGGGAGACTGAGTTCTAGTACAAAGCCAGCTGGGTGATTTTGGGACAATCATTTTCTCTCAGCCCAGGAAGCAGGCATTGACAAATCACTTACGTAATCTTGTCAAGAAAACTGCAGGGACTTGTCCAGGCAGTTGCCAAGAAGCATCACTGACTCAAAAGCACAAAAGCATAAAGCATATTTTATATAATATCTCACAAATCTAGCACTTCATTTTTCCCTCTTGCATTAGGTATAAGTGTATTAGCAGAGTGCCTTGACTGCCCAGAACTGAAGGCCACTGCGGATGATTATATTTATCAGCACTTCACGGAGGTGTACAAGACAGATGAGTTTCAACAGTTAGATGTTAAACGTGTGACACATCTCCTCAACCAAGATACTCTAACTGTAAGAGCCGAAGATCAGGTAAATATTTTTTTTTTAAAAACCCTTTTTTAAAAATCCTATTTCTTCCTCAATGTCAGGTCTTCTACCAGAAGCCTGCACAGTACCTTAGCTGTTCTCAGCACTGCACTCTTCTGGACAAAGAGCTCTGATGTCATTCCTGGGATCTGTTGGAGCCACATTTCCAGCTTGGGAGTCACGGCCGCAAGTACTTCTACCATCACTAAAACCACTTTGGACTTTACTTTCCACATCTAGCTCTTCCTTCAGGCTCTAGTTGATGCACAATTCTGAAGTTCCTTATGGATGTGACATTCTTAATGTTAGCAGTTAATGAGGAACAGCTATTATTAATATGAACATTTGTTTTCCAAGTTTCTTTACCAATTTTGTATGAAAAAAAGAACTCATCAATTGAGATTGACAAGTGGTGACTGAAGAAAAAAATGTCTCAGGTAATAGTAACTTCTCCTGTTAAAGGTCCAAAGTTAAGTTAACAAAGTTAAGTTTTAAATGAAGTTTCTTATTTTAAATAATACTTTCTTTGCCATTTCTGAAATAGACTGCTATGCATATATGTCTAGTCATGTATCTTTTCTTAATTTCCAGGTTTATGATGCTGCTGTCCGTTGGTTAAAGTACGATGAGCCAAACCGTCAGCCCTACATGGTTGATATCCTTGCTAAAGTCAGGTTTCCTTTAATTTCAAAGAATTTCCTTAGTAAAACTGTTCAGGCAGAGCCACTTATACAGGACAACCCAGAGTGTCTCAAAATGGTTATAAGTAAGTTTTCAACATTCTAATACTGATTTCTTCTATGGACTGCTTATTTCGCCACAAAACTCTATAAAAATAACACCTTGAAAAAGAGCTGATTTTGTCCTCTGGGGGTGGGTGGGTAAGAAACCAAGTATCTTTTAAATTCTCCTAGCTCCCTCCTTCCAGAAAGATGTTCTCAAACACTAGTCCTTCTTTCAGGGAAATCCGTTATTTCACAGGTCAAGACTCTCTTTGGATTCCAAAAACATTTTTTAAGAAGTCCCACCCTTGCTTTGGACAAGGATGATTTGCAGTACATTGACAAATTTTAATCATAAAACAAATAACAGTCACTGCTGTGAATGTTTTTTGATAGTTCCTTTGAAATTTGTTTAATAGAACTTGCTGTTTTGTTTAGGTCTATCTGCACAAAGCATGTTACACATTTTAGAATGCCAATTGTGCATTCTTGAAATGATTTAGCTGGAGTTATAGTTTTGTTCATTACAGGTTAGAGGAATTCAATGAATTACATGTTGATCTGCCTTTAAATCTTTCAACAGCCAGCTGGTTTAGGTCAAAGAAGCCAGACTGTTGATTCACTATGGTAAATCTATCTTGGCAGTGTTAAAGATCATCTCTCACTTTCAGTTTGTTTCTAGGCAGAATTTGAGATTATCTTCTTGAACTACATACATGAGATTTGGCAATCCAAAATGCTGCCTTAGTCCTTGTGGTTTCTTTTTTGTCTTGGGTGTTTTGCTTGTGAAATTCTCTCCATAGAAAGTCCAAGTAAAGGTTTAGATCCATGTATTTGCCAATATTCTCTCACACAGTCAGTACCTCTCTCTTTTGAAGTCAAGATAGTCTGGTACTTTGGTGCTCTGTATACAGTAGTAATGGAGTTAGTAATGAAACTTCATCTTTACCAGAATGACTGGAAAGAAAGAAAAGTTATGGCCTTGCTTCCTGACAAGTCTGCATATATTAAAACTACTGTTTAATTATGTGTGTGAACATGGAAAGGTGAGGAAATAAACAGTGCTTCATAGAAGGAAGAAATTGATACCATCTTGTACTTGATGACCTTATATGAAAGATGTACATAATACTTATGCCTTCTTATGTTGGAAAAAAAGATGTAACTTTAAATTGCACAAAATCTTTTTTTTTTCTTTTCGTGTAGGTGGAATGAGATATCATCTCCTTTCTCCAGAAGACAGAGAAGAATTGGTGGATGGGACTCGTCCAAGAAGGAAAAAGCACGAGTACCGTATTGCCTTGTTTGGAGGATCACAGCCACAATCATGTCGATACTTCAATCCAAAGGTAATTGTTTGTTATGGATTGGATGTACAATATAAAGGTATATCTTTACTTAATGTGTCATCTTATATTGCTGCATCTTGTGACTTTGGTCTAGGTCAGGGGTAGGCAACCTTGGCTCTTTTATGACTCGTGGACTTCAACTCCCAGAATTCCTGAGCCAGCCATGCTGGCTCAGGAATTCTGGGAGTTGAAGTCCACGAGTCATAAAAGAGCCAAGGTTGCCTACCCCTGGTCTAGGTTATGATAATTTTATTACTTTTATTTCAAGCAGAACCTAGTTTATTTGTACACCAAAGGAGTGAAAAGCTGAGAGATGTACTTAAATTACAGATGTTTGCTGTTAATATAGTATCTTTTGTTTACATGTTTGATTTTGCACAAAACAGATAAAGATTGTTTTTCCTAAAATAAATCAGGGGAAATTGGACTCATAAGGAATCATACACTGGGAGATTACAGCTCTATTTTGATGTTGCTATAGCAATTTAAGACTGTTTAAATATATTATTGTTAGGAACATGTCTGACATAGTTCACATGATTTATTTAACATCCATGATGACTCATTTCGTACCCATAGTAAAAACAGTCATAAAATCAAATCAGTTCACCTGGTCACCCACTTAACAACCACAGTGACTTACAAGCAAAATTCCATGGTCCATTGTGGTTTCTCAATATATCATGTTCTGAGGATAACATGAACAGAAATATTCATGTTACTCTCAAACCCTTGACAAAAAGTGGAATAAAATAAAATATTAATGATCTCAAAACTTTGAAGACTTTTTTTTTGCAGAAAGACATGGCTGAAAATATTCTATAAGGCTTTGATTTATTTTTATACAGGATTACAGCTGGACAGACATCCGATGTCCGTTTGAAAAGCGGAGGGATGCAGCTTGTGTTTTCTGGGATAATGTAGTTTATATTTTGGGTGGTTCCCAGCTTTTCCCTATAAAACGAATGGATTGCTATAATGTTGTTAAAGACAGCTGGTACTCCAAACTGGGTCCTCCAACTCCTCGGGACAGCCTTGCAGCATGTGCAGCAGAGGGTAAAATTTACACATCTGGTGGTTCAGAAGTAGGTAAGAGACATTTAAGGACATGGCTGTGGGAACTTTAAAAGCAAAGCTGCATTTGCTGTATTGTTGTGAAATATCTCTTAAAAGAACTAGATTACACTGAACACAATTATGCCCATTTTGAATCCACGTGATAGCACAGTAATACTACATGCATTATTTAAACTATATTTCCTCTGATAGAATTGAAGGTTTTACAACTTCACAAATTGGATTATTTTCTATATGTACATAGATATTTATTTGGGAATAAATTTCACTTAATGCACTCAGCCTTGGCTGATTGGACTTGAATATGCCATTGATTTTATTAAAGTGTTGATAAACATGTGTGAAATACAGCTCTTTGCAAAAAAAAAGCTTTTTGATAATTTTCCTCATTATATTTTTAGAAAATTTTCCTTGTATATGTGTACACTTGTATAGATTTCTTTTATCCAAATATAAAAAGAAAAATATTTTCCTCTCATTATTTTCTCTCATTACTCATGGTAATAAATTAACCTGATCTGTCACAAGACACATACCCAGTATAACTACAGTATTAGCTGTGACCCAGCAGCATTATGTTGTAGACTGTTTTACTTCTTTCCTGGGTTTCTGCTTTAGGAGTAGCATATAATTACAGCCATTTTCCCGCTGGACTTTCCTTTGGAGAGCCATTTTCTGTGCCCCTTGAGTCACTGAAGGGACAGCATGCATATCTCAAATTTCCTCCCTGCTGGCATGGCAAAAACATTCTTAGATTTTATTCACATTAAAGGGGACACACAAACCACTATTGCTCATTTATTTTCTCTGTGCTTCTACTGGGAATTCCAATAAAAACAGTGCTTTTTTTTCTTCCATTAATCAGATGTTGTCCTCAATACAACTGATCTGATTTGATGTTGAAAATTTGAAAAAGAGATGTCAAGTTAGCATTCCCTGGAAATAGTGTGTCAAAATCTGGACCTCTACTGAGAGTTTATTGTCTATGTTATTTGCCTACTAAGAATATTCTCTTAACAAGCAGATAGTCTCATTGTCTAAGTGACTCTATTTTGTTTTTGTTGGTTAAAGGAAATTCTGCTTTATATTTATTTGAATGCTATGATACAAGAACAGAAAGTTGGCACACAAAGCCCAATATGCTGACTCAGCGATGTAGTCATGGGATGGTTGAAGCAAATGGCCTGATTTATGTATGCGGAGGAAGTTTAGGGAACAATGTTTCTGGAAGAGTCTTGGGCTCCTGTGAAGTTTATGATCCAGCAAAGGAAACGTAAGTCCTGACTTTATTCCCTGTCAAAAGCTTTTATCAGCAATGGGTTTCTTTACATTGTGAAATGGTAGAAAAGTTTGATTTCAAAGCTGTTTACTCGCCCTTCAAAACACTGAAATTACTTTATTCTTATTTGGGGAGGAAAATGTAAAAGTGCCACCAAAGAACCACACTCCATTTTAAGTGGAGCTGCAACTCATCTGCCGGGCTTTATTGAGATAAGAGAACTAACAGCTAATTATAACATTTCTCATTAAGTCTTGATCACATTTAATGTAAAGGAAAATATGGTATAAAATTGTGCATTTTAAATATTTGCAGGTGGACTGAGCTATGTCCAATGCTGGAAGCCCGAAAGAACCATGGTTTGGTGGTTGTGAAAGATAAAATATTTGCTGTAGGGGGGCAAAATAGCTTAGGTATGTATTAATAATTTATTCTACCTAACTGCCATGAGGCTATATGGACTGTTTCAGTATTAAAATTAAATAAAATCCTAAGTTCTGCTTTCTGAAAGATAAAGATTGATGCTTGCAGTATAGGCTTTAAAGAGTTGTCACAATATTTCAAGCAGATTGACATAAGTGGAAAAATATTGTTAAACACCAGAAGGCTTAAATGCAACAGAAAGTAGTTCCCTAAAACCACCCCATCCTGATTCTCTATAAACAGGAATGATCAAATCTCCTTTATCCCTAAGTTTTTTTCATATTAATGATAAGTTAAAATGTCAACTTTTCAGAAAGGACAACAGCCATAAGCCACCAGAGATAAATATATGATACTATGTAAATAAAAAGCAGATACTAATTACACAATAGTGATTAAAATATTTCTTTATAATATCTGTAGCCATATTCTGATAATATTCCTAACAAATTAACAAAATATAGTTTTAATTTTAATATTCCTAACCTTTCTTAAACCTTTCTTATATAAATTAAATTAAATTATATAAATTAAATACATTAATTTGCAGGTTTTGTGATACTCATTTTTTAAATGTAACTTTATATTTCCAATGTATCCTGTAAATAGTCTTTTATATTGCAGTTCTATACATATTTATCTAGAAATAAGAATGATAAATTTGTGGAACTTAGTTAACAAGCTAAGTTAGTACAATTTAGATAAATAGTACAATTTCAATAATTTTGTGGCTTTATTTTCTTACATCCTCACTACTTATGGAAGTTTTGTATTCGTGATGAAGCATAGCTCAGGCATGAATCTATCAATATTCCTTTTTCTTAATTTTAAATAATAGAATTTTTAAATGAAGTTCCTTTACAACATTAAACATTTAAGATTTTAAAGCTATATACTCCCATTTCTTAGAAGTAAGTTCTATTAAACCCTGAAGACATATTCAGGATATTAAAATATTATTTCACAATAATTATTTCATCAACTTTATATAGTTTGAAAGTTATTTTTCATCTCTAGGGCCTATATATTTTTACCTACTTCTATAGTAAACTAAATGTTCATTTAAACCACTCAATTAACATAATTTATTGGTAAAATATTTTTAATTTCTTAGAAAAAAGTTTTAATCCTAAAATGATGACAAAGTTATATTGGCTTAATAATTATTTTCTTTCTTCCTTGTAAAGGTGGCTTAGACAGTGTGGAATACTATGATATTAAACTGAATGAATGGAAGATGGTTTCCCCAATGTCATGGAAAGGTGTAACGGTAAAATGTGCTGCCGTGGGTTCCATAATTTATGTTCTAGCTGGATTTCAGGGTGTGGGTCGCTTGGGGCACATCCTTGAATATAACACTGAAATTGACAAATGGACAGCAAACTCTAAAGTTCGTGCTTTTCCTGTGACCAGCTGTTTAATTTGTGTAGTTGATACTTGTGGAGCCAATGAGGAAACATTAGAAACTTAAAAACTTTAGAATTATCAAAAAGTACTCCTGAAAGAGATTGCTATTTGTTTTGTTCTACCTTTTAGTTGTGTCTTGGCAGTTCATAATGTGAACTGAATGTAGAAAAAAATTGGACTGCCATTTTATTATTTTAATTTTTTATATAATTTGGGTTTTCTCATTTGAATACTGTTCATTTGTGTCCCTTCTATGCATTGGGATTATTTCAATTTCTCTAAACCAGGACTGAAAAGAAATGAAAATTTCTGAAGATGCACATATAATTTTTTTCAAAAAAACAACTGTCTAATATGCATTGCAAATTATTTTAAGAATAACCTCTTCATTAATCTTCATTTTTTATTAAAAGCACTGAAATTTTTAAAGTAGGAAACTTGCAAAACAAACTATTAAGCTATATGTTGCTCAGACTTGTGTTCAGGATGCCACCTCATCACAGAATTCAAGTTCTGTGATTTTGTTTCCGATAATTGAAATAGTTAAATTAACTCCAGTACTATTAATCTTCTCTCTATACTTAATTTACTCTAATAAAAAAATATTATTGTACATGACCATTCTCTCTCTTTAAATACTTGTACCACATAACCAAAGTGGTGTCAAAGTAGAGCAGTGGTTCTCAACCTGTGGGTCGGGACCCCATTTGGGGTCGATCGACCATTTCACGGGGGTCGCCAAGCAAGGCTGTCCGCCATTTTTTTTGTCTGCCATTTTTTTCCCCTTTTCCGGCGGGTGCCTTACCTCCCTTGGGCTGGGCCAGCTGGTGGTCGGCCTGCTCCGTCTCTGCCGCTTGCCAGATACGCCTCGGTCGGCGCAGGGGGCGGAACCATGCATGCGTGGCGCTCCCGGGCAGGGAAAGTCCTCGACTTACGACCGGTTGGGTAGTCCTCGACTTACGACCGGTTTAGTCCTCGACTTACGATCGGTTTAGTCCTTGACTTACGACCGGTTTAATCCTCGACTTACGACCAGTTGGGGTCGCGGCATTAAAAGGGTTGAGAACCACTGAAGTAGAGGCAAATAATTTCCTGAACAGACATTCTTAATTCCATCTATACAAAGTTTTATTCTCTGGAGTGTAGTTCCAGTATATTCTTTCAATCATGCATATAAGAGCTGTGCTTTTGATAAGTGCATCTACTTTCTGAAATATTACAGGTATAAACAAAATACTATGGTAAATTTATTTTATTTGCAAGTAAGAATTTGTGAATTTAAGAATAAAAACCAGTCCTTTATATGCACATATGGGGAAAGGGATACTGCAGTAGAAAACTTCAGAAATGTTTTTTTGCAACTTCTGTTTTTAAAGTTTTGTCCTTAACTGCAATCCATTTTATTTTTGTCTTTTGTTTATGAATATGCTATTTAAAATATGCAGTTTTGATCTGATTTCCTTTCCTCAAGCTACTTATAAAAATTCATAATCATTTCTTACATGTCAATAAGATTGCAGTAAGATTTCAAAACTATAATGTATATGTACTTTAAAAGTACTCATTTATAAACCTGCATATGAGAAAGTTGAATGATAGCACTTACGTATAATACTTTTTGGGGTATAAACATACATTGCTTTGTCTAATTTTTCTCTACATATTTTTGCAGTTAAGGGGGGGAGAAAGAGACTAATTTCTTCTAAATTGAAACATTCTATATTGATCAAGGTATATCTTTCTGTATCTTCTTAGTATTGGCTTTTTATCATGAAAATCTGAACTTAGTACTTTAAACAGCTTTGTATGCTTGCAAGGAGGGATACAAATTTAATTTTCTAACAAATCCAACAAGTTGGATTTAAAAACAAATTCTTAAGCAAACTGAGGTACATTTTTTTCCAATTAATAGATTGTCAAAAAATAAAATATTAATCGATGTAAATTTTCAAGCAATGAAAATGCAAGAAGGAATTTAATCTAGCTCATTAACAAATAAGATTCCTTTATTTCTTTTATGAAACAGGGACAGTTTCATAAAACCAATATAAACTAATGCAAGTTGTATCGTTTTCCATAGGTTTACATTTCTCCATGTTATTTGTCTAGGCAGAATGTGACAGATTTGTTTCATTGTGAGGTCTTAGTTTATGAACATTATGTGCAAAAAGTTTTGATTTTGTGTATTGCTGGGCATCTATTAAAAAATCTTGTATACTGAATAATTTTGTTATGTATCAGAATTTTGAAAGTGAAGCAAATACCTCAGTGAGGCTTTTGTGGTCAATTAATTTTATTAAATATTTGTTCCTAAAAATGTGTTGTTTTTATTTATTATTTGTCGTATCAACAGTCTAAGCAATCTTTATCCATTAAATAATACCCCAATGGCATTTTAGACCACTTTAAAGACCTGGCTATTTCTTCTGGCCTTAACCAAAGGTGGCTGAAGCTTCCCCATTCCCCCAAATGTTGGTGCTATGGTCTGGTGGATTCACAATCTTTTTTTTTCTTTTTCTTTTCTAGTCTGGCTCTGTTTTTATCGTTTGTTTTGTTTGTTTGTTGTACTATGAGCCATCCAGAAGTCACCTGGAGTCAGGCAGTAAAGTGAAGTTAAAGATAAAACTCTATTGTTGGTTCACATTCTGTTGCAGCAATAGAAAATTATAGTCCTTTTTTAAACTATGTCCCATACACTTAGAAAATTGTTAAATAGTACAAGACTTGACAAGTATGTTAATGGTTGAAGCCACTGGTTTGGGTAGAGCTTTTTCTAAGGGTGCCAAGAACTAGTTTGTGAGATGAGCAGATTCCAGCATCTATGCCAGGGCTTTTCAACCTTTTCACCCACTGTACCACTTTTAGGATATGGCAATATCCGAGTACCACCAATCGCCTAGCACAGTATCAAAAACTTGATGACCCCCCCCCCAAAAAAGGAAAAAAGTGATAAACTACAGGTAGTCCTCGACTTACAACAGTTCACTTAGTGACTGTTTGAAATTACAATGGCACTGAAAAAAGTGCCCCCCAAGCCGCAGGCGAGCAAGACACCTGCCTGCCCGCCCGGCTGCACTTTTCCTCCTATCCGAGGTTTTCATTGTTGTGAGCATTTCTGTTGAGGATTGGCAGCGGGGGTGGGGTGGGGGGGTGTTTGGTTTTTATTCCCCCCGTCTGCTGGGTGGTTGCAGCAGGTTTTGGTCACTTCACATGACCCTGGGACACTGTGACCGTCATAAATATGAATCAGTTGCCAAGCATCTGAATGTAAATCACAAGACCCTGG